CATGAAATTTGGCCATTCTTCTGGTGGAGGAAAGTCTGAATATGCCATCATTTCTTTGGATGTGTTCACGACGGTCGTAGCCATCACAGTACCTCCAATCTAAAAATAGTATGCAAATTAGTAATGGAAACTCGAAAACTAATAAAGAAATAGTCATGAATGGCAGAAAATAAATATAAAAATCGCTAATTTCAATGGAATTGGTTAAAAATACTCGAAAGAGGAAAAATAAAAGTCACTGATTTTTCCATAGAAAAAATAATAAAAATAAATAATTGTGGGTGATTGTAAACGTACATTTTTCTGGCCAGGTCGGTAGTTCCATAGGCCACCGAGATCAGCCGTCTTCTCATAGCACACCACTTCGATTCCTTCTTCTAAGCATGCCTTTATGGATGGGAGGCCAGAAACTCCGGCTCCGACCACGCACACCCTCATTTGCGAATGCCCCCGAGCTCTTCTATCTGGAACTTTGGGATTTACTGGAATTGCTGAAGGATATTTGGTCGGTTTGGTATTACGGTATCAGTATTTACATATACGATTCGTTCAAAAATTGAAATCTGTAAATCTAAATATCTGAAATGAGAATGATTACAGAAGATCAAAAAAAAGTAAGCAATCAACAAGTCTGAAAAAGTAAAAAGCGAGAAGTGCCAAGTATCGTAGCCCTTGCACTCATGGTCCAGAAATCACAATTGTCCAGGAGAGCAGCCCTGCCACTCACCCGCAGAAGCAACTGAGAGGTGCTAAACTCGTCTTGAGATAGGAACGTTGACTTCTTCTTGTCCCTATTTGATTATCTACCGTTTTTCGAGCTTTAGTTTCCTGCTGGGACGACCAGAGTGCATTTGGAAAGAAGGCAAAGGAGGATTCAGGTTCCAATTGCGAATAAAGAGATGGAAAAATATATAGGGGATTGGCAAGGGTCAGGGAAGTGTGGTGTGAATAACCTAAGACAGCGGTTGTGCGGAATCTCGAACTACAACTTCGAAAGACCACAAAAGAAAGTAGCAAAGGTTAGGCTTACTCAGAAAATCCGCTGTTCCCAGAGGAACGATCTTCTTAGTTGCCTGATACAGGGGATAATATGGGACCCATTCGATCGTTAGCGAGATGTCCGCTCATTGCACGTCCGACCTTTCTCGGAATCCTCCCTACCGCGGAGTATCTGTTCAATTACTATCACCATCCTGGATGGAATCAGAGACACACTGCGTATATTGATGAGATTCATTAGATTAGATTCTATTCTTTTAGATTAGGCATTAGATTCATTAGATTCATTAGATTTAGGCATTAGATTCTATTCTTTCCCACACCCATTCTCCCACATTTTTTGCGGCCATCCCGACATTGCATACATGTTTCTTTAATAGATCGCCCCTGCATAATCCGGTCACGTACATACCGAAGGGCTTAGTCATAGGGCAATCTTCCCGAGCAGAACTTGATTGTGTGTTGCTCTGCTCGGTATGTGAAACCATTTAGATTATAAAGTAGTGCAATAATAGGAGCTTGGCATAAATCATCCAGCTTCAGGAATGCGCTCCGCATTCGACTTCCATTTAGAATCGTGGTGGTGTTTTGAATGCGTAGAGCCTATGTACTGAATCATTGTGGCAGGCCGATGTCAAATAAGTGCTTCAGACTACATAGACGAGTCTGGTACCAGTCATCTAACTCTAGAGGGCATCAAGCTTTGGTTGCCCTGGGCGAGTATCGATCCAGAATCCGATCACTTGACACTGGGTGTGTGATATTGCGCCACCTGTCACTACACCACTTTCGTCATGATTATGATGTGGGAATTTTTTGTAGTTTCTAGTTTCAAATTGCATTCCTCGTCGAGAATAAAGTATGTTTAGATACTTAATCATCTCCTGGATATGTCGATAAAAGAAAATACGAAGTTCAACGCAAACCACCAGAAAATATACGTTTTTGAACAGCAGAAGGGACCAGAAATTGTAAAGAATTCCTCAATCCGATATACATAGGAGCCGCTAAACAATAAAGTAGTGAAGAGGGGAAAG